CTGCTGGTGGATACTGGGCTGGCAGATCCCTGCGAGCAGTGAGGACGCTCCATACCCCCTCCAGCTCCTCTCCTAGGGCTGAGCCAGGGTGCACTCGGGCAGGACCCTGCGTAGCCGGCGGCATCAGCTGCTTGGCCAGCTGCCCACCCCCCCATCACAGCTCCATCTCTCCTCAGTCCCTCGTGGCCACACAAAACCAGGGGCACCTGCCTACGCCAGACCCTTCCTCCGGGCATCGGTGCTGCTGTGCACCACGAGCCGTTCTGCTGGTCTACGTGGAGCTGGGGCCGAGCCGGCAGCCCCCTCCTCAGCCAATGCAGCTGCACTCAGCCGCTGAGAGCTTCTCCACTGTCTGCCATGTGTTCTGCACATCCATGAAGGAGACGGCCTCATAGCGGGTGGGCCGGCAGCAGGGGGGGCTTACGGCCCGATCCCTTCGGCGCCGCATCTCCTGCCGCAGCAGGCTGCCCAGCGTCAGGTCGTAGTTGCTGCGTGCCCGGTGGCAGGACCCACTGCAGTACTTGAAGAGCACAATCTCGTCCGAGTTGAAGCCCAGGCCCAGGTCGCGCACCTTCACCATCAGGTTGCGGATGTGGCAGTTGCGTCCGCGGGCCCCTCGTGAGGATTTCCGCTGCCCCTTCTTGGCTTTGCTGGCACCCGGCGGTGAGCGCTCGGCACGCAGAAGCAGATCGTCGACCAGCTCCACAGCACCAGGGCCTCCCGTTGTCGCGTTGTCCCCTGCACACAGAGGGGACAGCACCATCAGACCCCATCCTGCACCTGCCACCCTCCTGGCACTTGCCAAGCCTACTGACTTGCAGACCCCTCCTGACCCCCCATCATGGCATTGGCTGAGTGCCCACGGGGCAGTTGGGTGGGTGGGCACCTGGCTAAGCATCTTGTGATCCCCAGGGCTCTGCCATCATTCCCAGCATGAAGCACGGAGCCCCATGTGCTCAGGCTCCCAGCCCAGCCTCTATGTGCAGAGGCAGCCCTGCATGGGCTGGGGCTCCCCACAGCAGCTCCCAACCCATACTCGGGACTACCGTGCCCAGGCTGGGGGTCCTGTCCTAATACGCACCGTACAGCTGGCTCCAGGCAGCGGTGAGTGGTACCTCCACGACATCCTCCACAGCCGGGCTG